ACCAAGCAAAAGAAAACAAAATTTTTCTAGTATTGCAAGCGGTTACAATGAATTATCAAAATAATAATCATTCACGATACCGAGTATTAATTAATTCCTCACAAATAAAAAATAGTGTTCCCGTGCAAAGTGCGAAATTATATATAGGTTTTTGTTCAAATAAGAACATGATCTTCGGAGAGAAATGAGAATCAATCTGACTGTTAGATTTGCTTTAAGTGAAATTCAATGTGCATTAGATGAAACTGTAATGTGCATTAGCTGAAATTGAAATGTGTAGCACAAGAGGTACGATACAGTCACATTATGTAAAGCTGAATTGTACATTAGGTGAAATTGAAATGTGAACTGCGTGAAACTAAAATGTGCAGAATAAAAGATATTGTTGAGGTTTATTCCTTCAATCCATAGGCCCAACACGTAACTCAAGGATTTCGAATGGAGAGGTGTGGTGATATGTGTTTTAACAAGCGAGATGAGGCCCAATAAGAAGTCTTAATATTCAACAACCGTTACAAAGCCCTGAGACTGTTCGTACAATTGCTATGCTACGAGCTAATATGAATGTTATAATGCTAGAATGCTAAGTTGTCAACTCTTTACAATGAAATAAATGCTACTATTTATACTACCAAGGGGTAGTTAGACATGCTGACGTGATGGACTGTGGATGGGGGCTAGGATTCCAACAACCAAATCTTCTGCATTAAATGCGCCTCCCGCCAGAATCTGGTTCTCCCGCCTAGTTGTGGAGACGAGCGTCCCCGTGAACTTGCCCACTGGGTTCTGCTGGTCCTATGTGCTAGATCGCGAACGTCTCATACCACCCTTGGACTAAGGTACCTGTCTGCCCTTGGATACGCGCGTCCCCCGGGCCTTGATGATGTGGGCTGGTTCCGTTGGGGATGAACCTCGCCACGATTCGCGAGAAGGCATCCCAATTGGCCTAGGTTTGGGAGACGTTCGTCGAGTGGCTCTTAAGGGTTAATGGGTCAACCCCAGTTGGGCCATTAACCCAACATGTACGATTTAATGTTATTTCTGTACCTTTTATTCCGCACATTTTAGTTTCGCATATTGCACACCTCAGTTTAAATTTTTAATCTGCACATTTCATATTATCTAATGCACATTTCAGTTTTCACCAAATGCACATTTCAATTCTACATAATACAATCCAACGGTCCAGATTCACTCTTATTTCTCTCCTGGGAGTCTGTTCTTACTGGAACATGATCTTAGGAGAGAAATGAGAATGAATCTGAATCGTTAGATTTGCTTTAAGTGAAATTCAATGTGCATTAGATGAAACTGTAATGTGCATTAGGTGAAATTGAAATGTGTAGCACAAAGGGTATGATACAGTGACACTCTGTGAAGCTGAATTGTGAATTATGTGAAATTGAAATGTGCACTAGGTGAAACTGTAATGTGCAGAATAAAAGGTACGTACAATGCGATGTTATTTGTGTACCTTTTATTCCACACATTTCAGATTCACCTAATGCACACTTGAGTTTAAATTTTTATTCTGCACATTTCAATATTAACTGATACACATTTCAGTTTCATCAAATGCACAATTCAGTTCCACATAATACAATCCAACGGTCCAGATTCATTCTCATTTCTCTCCTGAGAGTCTGTTCTTACCGGAACCGCTCCCTATATTATACTTCCTCCGTTCCATAAAAGTTGCAACATTGAAATTTCTGCACTATTCACACGCCTTACTTTGATTATGATTTTTTAATAATATATATAATAAAAATAATATGTATAAAATATTAATAAATTTGTATTAATCTAAATTTCCAATATATTAACTTTTTTTAATGTTTACTAATACGAAAATAAATATAATTACAGTCAAAGTTGCGTGTTGGCAAACGTGAAGGTCAAAGTCCAGCAGCCCTCGGTCCGAACACCGTCCGAACATTGCCATTTGTGGCACTTCCCGGTTGACTTTTTTGATGCAATTTTTTGAGCACGTTCCTCATCACGTCTTGTTTATTCATACCAATTTTCAGACTAAAATTAGATTGGGAAGGAAGTCGAATAATTTTTTGAAGTTGACTGCGTTTTTATATGTACATTTTGGCACGGTCAGCTTCAAAAAATGATTTGACTGCCTTTCAGATCGAAATTTGAGTCGAAATTTGGTATGAATAAACTAGACGTGATGAGGGACATGCTCAAAAAATTGCATAAAAAATTCCACCGGGAAGTGCCCTAAATGGTGATGTTCGGACAGTGTTCGGACCGGGAGCTGCTGCACAAGATCATTTCTCTCTCTCTCTCTCTCTCTATATATATATATATATATATATATGTGTGTGTGTGTGTGTGTGTGTGTGTGTGTGTATGTATAGGGAGCGGTTCCGGTAAGAACGGACTCCCAGGAGGGAAATGAGAATGAATATGGACCGTTGGATTGTATCATGTGGAACTGAATTGTGCATTTGGTGAAATTGGAATGTGCATTAGATGATATTGAAATGCGCGGAATAGAAATTTAAACTCAAATGTGCATTAGATGAAACTTAAATGTGAGAATAAAAGTTACAAAAATAACATCACACCGTACATTTTTATTCTGCACATTTCAGTGTCACCTAGTGCACATTTCAATGTCAACTAATGCACAATGCAGCTTCACATAATGTCACTGTATCGTACCATTTGTGTTGCACATTTCAATTTCACATAATGCACATTACAGTTTCATCTAATGCACATTCAATTTCACTTAAAGCAAATCTAACGGTCCAGATTCATTCTCATTTCTCTCCTAAAATCATGTTCTTATTTAATCCAAAACCTGTATGTATATATGTATATATATAAATGATCATGTCCAACACTCCCCCATCTGAACGCCGTCCGAACACCGCCGTTTGGGGCGGTTCCCGATGGAATTTTTTGATGAAATATTTTGAGCATGTTCCTCATCGCGATGGCAATTTCGTAAATAAACCACACTTTTTCGCCACCGTGAAAAAGTGCAACAGAAACACGGAAAAGTGTAAGCGAAACATGAAAAAGCGTATATCTTCGCACTTTGTACGGGAAGAGATCTTTTTATTTGAACTCTTCCCTATATATATGTATAGAAAAAATTCCACTTTTAGTCTCATGACTATTATACTACTTCCACATTTAGTCCTTTACTTTCTGATTGTCCACATTTAGTCCGTGACCATTATCCCCTCGCCACCCCTCATCCTTCTGGCCAAAATTCCGGCAAATTTAGTCCACTTATCAGCCTCAGAATCAGTCTTTACATTAAATTTTATATAAGGTTGGGTTTTTCATATCAGTCTTTGCATAAAAATTTGTTTTTTCATACCTAAAATCTGCATTAAACTTGCCGGAATTTTGGTCAGAAGGACGAGGGGTGGTAAGGGGATAATGGTCACGGACTAAATGTGGGCAATCTGAAAGTAAGGGACTAAATCTGGAAGTGGTATAATAGTCACGGGACCAAAAGTGGAATTTTTTCTATATGTATATATAGAGCGGATCAAGTGAGAAGTGCTCTTAGGCTGAAAACTGTGAAGTCAAACTTACAGACTAAATATAGGAACTTTTAACCAAAAAATCATAACTTATAGACCCCTCGAAAATAAATACGAAAATGTCACCGCAAAAAAATAAGTCTGGAAACCTTGGTTTAAGTTATGATTTATTGGTTATAAGTTTACTGCGTGTAAGATTAGATGCAAATCTAAGGGTTGAGATTACTTCTCACTTCTCATTTTAAGGGGCACTTCTCACCTGATCTTATATATATTATATATATAAGATCAGGTGAGAAGTGCCCCTTAAAATGAGAAGTGAGAAGTAATCTCAGTCCTTACATTTGCATCTAATCTTAGCGATTTTGGCCAAATTCGGGCACATTTGCATCTAATCTTAGCGATTTGCATCTATATACGAACGTAGTGCAAAGTGCGAAATTTGCACATTTTCATGTTGCGCTTTCACCTTTTTGTGTTTCCGTTGCACTTTTGTGCCATTGCGATTTTGGCCAAATTCAGGCAAAACCGCCGTGCAGTTTTGTAAATAAACCAATTTTTTCGCTACCGCGAAAAAGTGCAACGACAACAAGTAAAAATGCAAGCGAACCATGAAAAGTGCAAATTTCGTAGTTTGTACGGGAACACTACTTTTTATTTGAACTCTCTCTCTCTCTCTGTGTGTGTGTGTGTGCGCGCGCGCGTGTGTGTGTGCGTGCGCGTGCGTTTGTGTGTGTGTGCGTGTGCGCGCGCGTGCGGGTGCGTGCGTGCGTGCGCGTGCGTGTGCGTGCGTGCGCGTGCGCGTGTGCGTGCGTGCGTGTGCGTGCGTGCGTGCGTGTGTGCGTGTGCGTATGCGTGTGTGTGTGTGAAAATGTCCATCTAAGGTAGACCTAAAAGTTACAATCGTAGGCCTCTTTCATTTGAGGTGCTTCCTAATCAGATTCTTTGATGAAATTTTGTGAGAATGTTCTCCATGAAGTATATATCATGTCTACCAAATTTCGGCTTAAAATTTAATCGAGAAGTCAGTTAAATAATTTATCAATAAAATTTGGAAGTGTCCTTGATACTTTCTCCGCCCCATGTGGTTTGCTTCGGAACCAAAAAAAAAGTATTTAGAGGAGAAAATTTGAAGCCAATTCTTGTTTTTTACTCCGGGGGGTCTGGGGGAGTGGGCCTGGGGGGAACCTGGAGTAATCAGTGTTGAAACTCACTTCATTGAGATTCAAACCCTTATGTGTTTAGGGGGTTTCGAACTCGAGACCTTCCACTAAACACGATAACCTCACAACCAGCTGGGCTGGAATGCTTGATTTGCAAATTTTAAGCCACATAAAGAAACATAATCTTCTAGTATATGTAGTAATATACTAGAATCACGTGATCACTTATCAAATAAAATTTTTAAATTATAGTGTTTGAATCTTTACAAAATTTATCAAATTTTGTTAATGTTTGTAAAAAAATTAACCGAAGATTAATGTCCGATAAAGTAGTTAGATTAAGTAAGGCCTCTTACAAGACACAAAGTATGAGGTTAAACAAAGGATACAAATATTAGAAGGTGACAACTTCGGTACCCATTTAAAAAATGGGGTACCGTACCTGTCACTCACTTGATTGGTTCAAATCATTACATCATTTTTAATTTAGATTTAAATAATTCAACTACATCATTCTGATTGGTCCATGTGGACAAAGGGTACCATAGAATTTACCATATTAGAATTGTAATATCAGACTTGTAGGAGGTGAATTAAGTAAGGGCTCTTTTAGAATGAGGCTAACCGGGCAAAGGATATAAGTCAGTTCTCCAAACCCAAACATAATAGTTTAAACATATGCGGGTATTTTGGATCAGTATAGAAACGTGGTTTGGGCATGCAGCAGCGGGGGGGTATTGACAAGCCTGCAGTTTGTTCTGATCTCTCCAGGCCGGCCCGACTGAAGATCACCCATTTTGATCATCCCCTCAACAAATGCCCGGAAGAATGCTTCCTGGTTGCGGCTATACATGACCACATAGTCCCTAGTTTCCGGGCTGGTGAAAAGCGTCTCGTCGGAGTTGAGAAACCCTTTTCCAGCCACCAAGTCCTTGAAGTACTGGTTGTCGAAGACCTCGGGCGTGGCGTCCAAGTCTCCCGTCACATTCCCATCCCCGCCAAGTGGACACAGCCTGTCTAACTTTTCTCTGAACTCGGAGTCGATGGCAGGGTCTGGTTTGCCTGAGCCTGATTGGTTGTAAAGCCGGAACACGATGGAGAAGCACCTGCCTTTGCCCAGGGAATGAGAGCCAGAGAGGGCCACCAGGTCTTGGACAGAGAGGTTGACTGTGGTGAAGAGGCGGACGAGGGAGGTTGCGTTTGCTCTCGGGCTTGGCATTATATCGTCTGAATCTTGCTGGCTTGCTGTTAAGCTGTCCAGCCTTCCCAGCTTCACATCCCACTTAGGCCCTCCGCTCTACACAAAAACACAAATCCTTTTAGGGGCTGGGCCATCATTTAAATGAGATTTTCCAATTTTCACATATCGTGTCATTGTTATAATTTTTACCAACTATCCTAACCTCTTTTTTATTTCAGATAGCTAACAGCTCACCTATTCAGTACACGCATTGCGTCACTCCATGCGTGTACTGCGTCAAGTCATAACCTGTTGACCGACGGGTTACCTGTTAATTAAAATTCATATTTAATGCAATTTAAATAGTAGGAGGTCCTAACCTGGTGAAAGTTTAATTGATTTTTCTTACATAGTAGGAGGCCAATTTGACACTTTCATCTCTATGTTTTGTTTTTTTAATTAAAAAAGATGCATCTAATATCCAACATTTGTAGATATAGAATTTTTTGCATTATTATTATGAACTTCTAGGAAATCTCAATTAATTTTGGAAAAAGGATTAGGATGTCGGGAAACCTTTGCACTAGTTTTTGTCATTATGATGCAATCTTTTCAATTGGACTGAAATTGTATAATTTGATTCAATCTTGTATGTTTAAATTTGGTTTTATCTAGGGAGATTTCTCAAAATAGGAGTAAATGAAGTTTGAAATTTCAAAAAAGGACTACTTTGTTTTTATTCACGAAATGGGACTAACATGGCAGTATTTACTGTCATCTTGTAGCCGTGACTGCCAAATAGTTGCAGTACAGTGCATTTAACATGACAGTATCTATTATAATTAATGACAGTATTTTTCAATGATGGCAGTATTTTTCATACATGACAGTAATAACTCCTATTTCAGGAAGAAAAATATATTAGTCCTATTTTGGGAATTCCAAGTGTCATTTGCTCCTATTTTAGGTAATTTCCCTTTTATCTATAGACATCTGGTGTATGTGTACTTTATAATTGTCTAAATCTCATCTACTCTGATCTGGTATATTTAAATCCGAATTGATTTACCACTAATCAATCCTATTATAGACATCTTTATTCTTCAACTATTCATCAACTTTACCAATTTAGGTATTTTAAGAAATTACAACTTTACGTACATTTAACGAAAAACACTTTTGCCTCCTCCAATTTATTTAGTTATGTCTGTATAATAAAACTTTCACGAGAATCAAGACAAAATAATAAACAACGTGAATAATAATCATTAAAATTAAGATATCATTAAGCGGATGAAAAATAGAAAACCAATAAATAGAAAATGATAAAGTATACTCCGTATAAACAGAGGAAGATGAAGAGCTTGTTTATCATCCATATCGGCCAAGTTCTTTATCAAACGCACAACTTTTATTTCACACGCTTAATAGTGCAATAATCAAAATAACTAATGTTTGAATTACTTTCTTGGATAAAGTTACCGTTAGACTACAATTTAAGCTATTTTCATATGCAGTATAATTTTTTCCTTATATTTTTAAAATATATTATTCCAATGATCCTAGCAGGTTCAACTAATTCAGTCATTTTAGTTAGTATTTTACTCCCTCCGTCCCTTAAAACTTTGTCAAATTTGATTGACACGAGGATTGATAAAGTAAAAACTGTGTAGTTGAGGTTTGTGCAGAGAAGAGAGAATTAACTGGAACCACAAATTTTTTACTTAAATGAGAAAGTGACAAAGTTAGTGGGACATCCAAAAAAGGAAAATTGGCAAAGTTTTAAGGGACAGAGGTAGTATAAATTATAGTTACCTATTTATATATGGTTTAACAATTTATACGGCATACTACGGGTAATTTAATAGTCAAACCATTTAAATTGAGTAGTCCTACTCCGTATAACAAACCGGCCTTACCCGCAGTTTACACCATGAGGATGGTGCGCCCGGTTGAAAACGACGCAGTTTATACATATTTTTTATTTCTTTTATTGTTAGAAATTGTAATAATTTTTTTATTTGATATCCGGTTTTTATAAATTTTATATCAATTTTTTTTATTTTTCATGATCTATCAAATGAGACCAATATTGCTTATGTAATTTTAACAATTTATTTTGAAGTTACATTTGATAATATATAATGAAGTTACATCTTCTTCTGTGCGAGTAACATCTTATTGTACGCGAGTTACATCTTAATATACGCGAGTTACATCTTAATATACGCGAGTTACATCTTAATGTATGTGAGTTACACCACGAAATAAACCCCTACTACATCTTTCATTTTTATCATTTGAAAAATAGTGTATGAATATGAAATACAATATACTTATTTTATGTGGATTAATAAAATTTTGTATTAAATTGGCAAAGAAAAAAATTAATTCAGTTATAATTGAATTAGTTCAAGATAAAGATAAGTAAAAAATCACAAATAATTAGATATAACTCACACATAATTACATGTAACTCGCGCATAAAAGTATGTAACTCGTGTATAACAAGATGTAACTCACACATAACAAGATGTAACTCACACATAATTGCATGTAACTCACGCATAAAAGTATGTAACTCGTGTATAACAAGATGTAACTCACACAAAACAAGATGTAACTCACACATAATAACTTGTAACTGGAGTACAAGATGATGTAACTTCGTATATTATCAAATGTAACTCCAAGCTAGAAGCAAAATAAACAAACACAATATCTTAAAAACCTATAAAAACATATAAAAGTGATAAAAAAATATATTATAGAAAAAGTGTATGCATATAAAAATATACGGAGTATTACAAAAAAATGTATGAATGTAAAAAATTAAAATTACATAGGCAATATTGGTCTCATTTGAAAGATCATGAAAAATAAAAAATTTTGATATAAATTTTATAAAAATCGGATCAAAAATAAAAAAATTATTAACAATTTTAAGAAAAGTAGAAATAAAAAAAACAAAGGCTGCATGGTGCTCACCATGCACCGATTCCACGGTATAAGCACTCGGCCTTACCCTGCCTGATATATAGCTTTAAAAGGGATCTAAAAAACAAATAGAAATACTCTAAATAGGACTAAAATTATGGCAAAAATCCAAAATATGATTTGTTGTGTTTTTATTCCAAAATAGGACCGTATCACTCTTATTGGAAACATACATATTTTTTCATTTCATTCTTACACCCTCTTTAAATATGATTAAAAGGTACTCAAAAGTCATAATTCAATGTTTAATTCATAATAAACCCGAAAAAACTTTAAAACTTTTAGAAAAATAATATAAAAGTAATAAAATATTTATAAAATAAAAAATTATTTTTTTATTTTTTAATTTTTTTTAAATTAATAAAAAATAGTAAAACTCCATAAACAAAAATAAAAATAAAAATATGGATCCCTTTCCCACCGTCTGTACTGCCTCCCTGCACCACCACCTCCGACCGGTGTAAAAAATGCCAATTTTTCTGAAAATTCCAAAAAAATGGCATATTACTCTTTGAGAATGCCAAAATGTTTATTGAATCTACCATAAATATGACATTCCTAATGCATGTGGAATTTTTTTCCTCCAGTTACCGGAGATGGTGGTGCTAGGGCAACAAAGGTGCTTTTTAGCGTTTTTTAGTTTTTAAAAAAAAATATTTTTTTAATGTTTTTTTTAATTTTTTAAATTAGATGCCTTTCCCACCGCTGGTACTGCCTCCCTGCACCACCACCTCCGACCGGTGTAAAAAATGTCATTTTGTCAAAAAAACTACCTTTTTTTCTTCTGAAAATGCTAAAAAATGGCATGTTACTATTTCAGAGTGTCAAAATTTTCCTTGATTTTGCCATAAATATGACATTCGTAATAGATGTGGCATTTTTTCCGCTAGTGACTGGAGGTGGCGGTGCTGGGGCGGTAGAGGAGCAGTGATTTTTTTGCGTTTTTTTTTTAATTTTTTTTTTTAATTTTTTATAATTATTATTAAAATATTGTTATTAATTTTTTAGTATTTTCTACGATTCTTTATTATTTTTTAATGAATTATAACATTTCAACAGCAACAAGGGTATATTTGTCCAACACACATAATTAGTCTTATCAAAACATAGTTTACTTTTTTGTCCTATTTATGCAAAGTGAGGAGCTTTTAGTCCTATTTTGACAATTAATTCAAAAACAAACTTCTGTACGACAGGAAAAACTTCATTTTTTCATCCCAAATAAATCTTATTTTTTGAGAAAAGAATTATATATGGAATACTTCCTATTTAAAAACGGCCTTATTTTGTGAATATTACTAAATAAAAACTTGAAAACAAAAAAAGTGACAACATAAATAAAATTCCAAAAATATGACTATTATGTAGTGACTCTAATGTAATTACATTGCAGTGACTTATAATTTTAGTGACTGGAGTTATACTAAGTGACCACCCGTGCAATGACCGCGGTCCCGTCTCTAATTGCCGCCGCCGCCCCAATTAGTGACTACCGCTGCCGCCTTGTCCGGTGGCTACCGCCCGTCCAGTGATTGTCACCACCGTCCGTCCAGTGACTGCTGCTGCCACACTGATTAGTGACTGTCGCCGCCCCCGGCCAGTGACTGTCGTCGCCGCTCCCGCCCAGTGACTACCGTCGCCGCCCTCGGCCAATGACTGCCGTCGCTGCTCCCGGCCAGTGATTGCCGCCCCCGCCTCACTACACCCCTAGTCATTGCCCACCCAGCCAACCCAGCCGTATCCACCTCCCCAACCCCCTCTGGTCCCCCAGCCACCTCCTCAGCCACCCTTCCCAACTCCAGATATGACCAAACTCAAACCAGCCCCCAATCCACCCCTCCCAACCCCCATCTATCCTGGATGAGACAGCTCCGTTCGAGCGCACCATTTCCCCGCTGTAGCTCCAAACATAGCCTTCGTCCATTTGTTCATCCGACCTCACCCTTCACCTCGGATTGGACAGAATATGAAAAAGAAAAAGAATAGGTAGCTAACGGCGGCGACTTGGAGGCGAATGCAGTGGCCTGGAGGTGCGGCGACCTGGCCGAGGAGACAAATCGGAGGCTGGGACGACGACCTGGAGGCTGAGGGGACAACGTGGAGGCGGAGGCGGCGGCGTGGAATCGGATGTAAGAGCCTATCTACCATCTCTGCCGTTCGTTGGAGACCTAGAGCTGGGGAGAGAAGGCTCACTTCGGAAGGAGATGGACGAACGAACGGGAGAGAAGCGTTTAATTGTTAGGCGGTCGGGTATTGGGTTTTAGTCATTTATTTGTCCTATTCATAATTGGTCATATACTACGAGTACTACTTACTCCGTATTTGTCAAGTGAAAGCGGGAGAGTATTATTTAGGCCATTTTTTCTTTAAAAAACTTACTTTTGTTGTTAATCCCAACTTTTGTTTCCATTTAATAAAATATTTGTTTTTTACTCATCCGTCCCATTGAACTTTGACATTTTTCCTTTTTTGGTTGTCCGAAAAAACTTTGACACTTTCCCATTAAAGTAACTATTCTGTAGTTCTACTCATTTCTATTTTCTCTGCACAAACCTGAACCACACAATTTTTACTATTCTTATTTCTCATTTAAGGTTCGGAGCCTGGGTAATATAATTTACTCCTTATTGGTTTGAGCCGATTCGGCTAGATTAAGACCAATCAAGATATCCGAGTATATGAACAGGGGGAGCGAAACATTTATTTAGATTAGAGGCCAGGGGTGAAAATGAACAGGGAGTAGCAAAGATGAATTTGAGCGTTTGAGAAAAAACATTTAGTAGATTTACCAGGACGATTGCATCTCTGGCAGCCATGATTAAGATATCAGCACAGGACACGACGCCCGGGCAGGCCCTCTCCACAGCATCCTTAACTTCATCCACAACTTCAAACGACCGAAGTGAATTTATATTCGACAGGGAAAGCTTTTCTCCCAACATCGTAGGCGTGTCGTCCAGCAACACCGATCCATCGCACCCCTACACACACAAACATCAGATCTCCACATAATTATGCTGTACTAGACTTCAACATATATTAAAGCTGTGAACTAAATATGAAAAATTTACTACTTCAGATCGAAAGGACGGGCGGATTACGTACGTTCACGAAGCAATCATGGAACTGGAGGCGCATCACTGAGGCTGCGCTTCTGGGTTCTCTTATCATGTTCTTAAGCATCACGTTCTTGACAATGGATTCCGCCTCTGGGCATCTCTCGCTGTAAAACCCACGGCGGAGCTCCACCACCTCCGCCGGCAACGCCGGCAAGTTCAGGAGGAAGAAGATGACAAGCGCTTGCAACATTCCCACACCGATGATTTTGATAAAGAGGGACGGAGGATATGGGTGGGATTGGTGTAAGTAAAGTGACGAACTCGGTTTTATTATTGGAGCATTTATTTATTTCTTTATTTAATAAATAATAGAGCATTGTGCTGAAAAAGGTAGACAATTGGCTGATGGAATATATCTTTACGCAACAAAGTCTTGTCTCGAAGTCTTCCATTTACTTTTAGGGGCCTCGGGGAACATTTACACCAACAAATGAGGGCACCAATATGGAATTTCACACCAAAGTACTTCATACTCCCTCTCTTTATTTCAACTAGGGATGGCAATGGGGAATTGGGGAGGGGTTCACTCCTTTTTTTATAATCCAGGTGTCGGGGCTTACGCTCCTATAATCCTGGAGTCTATGAATTACCATCCAAAGCTCCTAGACAGTTAAGTCCGGATCTGATCACAGTCAGCCTCGTCAGTACTGACTCCAAAGAATGAATCCAGCAGGACTTATATCACCTTTCAGGCTGCTCCTCCCACCACACGAACCCGCTACCTTCATTAACATCCTCTCCCTTCTCAGCCGCTGAGCAACTCCGTGAAGGTAGGGAGAATCATTGGGAGCAAGACCTCCATCATCTACCTTGGTGGGAATTGAACCCAAGACCTCCCACATAGGAGAGATTTGGGGGCGGATGGTCATCCATTGGACTACATCCACCTTCCCGGAGGGGTTCACTCCTTCATCCTCACCCTGTCACATCCCTCACTACTATCTGACCCGCGTCATCCCTTGCCTCGATCCGCTAGACCCACGGGTACCTAACGGGAGAAATATTCATAAAAAAATAACATTATTTTAGACCTAGACAGTTTTTCAAAAATCAAACAACACTTCTAGTATGTAGTAAAATAAACTTTTAGTTTTTAAGTATTAATATATTCTTACATCTCATTTCAAATCTAGAACACGTTATACATGTTTTGATTTAGTCATTTAATCAGACACTTTATTAGCATTGATTGGCTCTATAATATTTTCTTAAGCACTGCAATCAATCAATCAATCATGGTCATTTGACATCATCTAGAACGACCAATGGTCACTAGATTTTTAAGAGCCCTAACTACAATCATAAAGATGACATTCGTAAGAAAAGAATTAATGCATAATAATAGTAAAAGAAGAAAACATGCACACTGTGTCTGAGGCGTTTAAGCTATATCACTTTATAACTTTCCCAAATTCATTTTACTTTATATGATTTTGATAATCAATTTTACACCGGTTCGGGTCGGGCCGGGTCACAAAAATGCTGAACCGAGCCCGCCCCGCCCCTTCCCACCGGTTCGGGCCCATACCCGGTCCCGGACCGCCCGACCGGGCCGGTCCCGGGCCCGCACAGTACCGGGCCGGGCCGGGTCACGGGCCGGGCCGGGTCACGGGCCGGGCCGGGTCACGGGCCGGGTGGCCCGAACCGAATCCATCACTAATTTCAACTAGGGATGGCAATGGGGAATTGGGGAGGGGTTCACTCCTTTTTTTTGATAATCCAGTTGTCGGAGCTTACGCTCCCATAATCCTGGAATCTATGAATTACCCTCCAAAGCCCATAGACAGTTAAGTCCGAATTTGATCACAGTCCGAATCTATGATCCCATGCTCATGGTGGGCCGATCCCACGGTATAATTTGCGAATAGAAACCAAGATTTGGATAGTTCAGGGTCAGTTTTGGTTCAATGATAGATGTAGAGTCCTTCACTTTATACTTCATCTCTTTATTTGAACTTATAGCCTATGTTATTTGTGAAATTTCATATTGATATAGAAATCATCTTAAATAGGAATAAAAACATTTGTAAATTTCGAAATATGACTACTATGTTTTATCCCTCAATGAGAGTAATTATTGCCATATTTTGGCATTATCAGACTTTAAACATGTTTGTATTTAGGTTTTAGGCCACAGTTCAGGGAGGTTGACCTTTTAAGTTTCTTAATTAATATTCAAACGCCAACTGTCTAAGTAAGGTATCGTTTCAAATAAATCATTTAAGGAAAAATTAACGACACGGGAAAGTAGGTGAACTGGTACAACTTATCTTAGCATTTAAAGACTACGCCCTCCGTCCCAAATTGTTTTGCAAAGTCAACAATTTTTTGTGAACCAATAATAAAAGTCAATCCTTACTATCGATAATTAATTCAATTTTTAATAATTAAAACTTACATATTCAGAAACTACATTAAAAGTTCTTCAAAGTTGTAATCTCCAAATTAGAATATAATTAGAAATTGACGACCTAATTAAGCAAATAAAATGAAACTGTTTGACTATGAAAAGTCAAATTTGCAAATCGATTTGGGATGGAGATAGTATTAAACAGTTGAATGCATGGTCGAGTTGTAAACCATTTGGAATGAACTACTTTTCCTACTAGAAACCAAGATATGGATACTTCACGTTTAGTTTTGATTCAATGATAGATGAAGAGTCCTTCACATTATATATGTTACATTTGGTTATTTCCATTTGTAACCTATTCTATTTATGAAACTTCATATTAAAATTTTTGAGACATTGAATTCTACCCATTTTCACAATGATGATTTGGGGAAGGGCTGGTCTAATAAAGTAATACTAGTGATACAAATGATAAAGTTGCTAACCAAAAGACTTTTTTTGGAAGACTTTACATTCCCTCTGTTTCTTTTAACTTGTAACTTAGACTATTTTTGAGATTTCAAATTAAAATTAAGGGGTTTTGGACCGCGGTTCTAGACGGGTTGACCTTTTGAATTTCTTAAATAATTTTAAAACAACACCTCTAGCGGTCAAATAAAGTATCGTTTCAAATGCAGCATTTAAGGATATAATGACCACAATGAAAACTAGGTGGGCCGTTAAAGGTTCTCTTGGAAATAAATCTTAAATGGTCAGATGCATGGCCAAACTGTAAATCGTTTGAGGTTGACTATTTCACCTACTAGAAACTAAGACTTGGAGACATTATGTTCACTTGTGGTTCAATGATAAATGGACATTCCTTCACTAATGTTTCACAACAATTCTTCATTTTAGACATTTCCATAAAAGAGTTTTGAAAGCAAGTTCGGAACCATATAATGAATCAAATAAGAGCACTTACCAATTGAAAGCTCAAAAGAGAAGTGAAATTACTTTCAAGTGAAAATTGTTCACCAACGCTAAAATGGTGGTATGTGAGAGTCACATTTCAATACATGCAAGACTAAGTACATAATTAATCGAGTTAAACTTACAAATATACAAGTACCGATATAGTAATTAATGGTCCCTAGTGAGGTAAAAGTCTAGAGAGGGTAAATAGTCTTTTCAATCTTTTCGCTCTTTCAAAGTTTCCCCTCTAATAGAGTGAGTTTTAAGATCTTTGGGGAGACCTTGAAACTTGACACCTAAAGTCTTGACCTCATATAGTGTGACACTTATGGTAACGAAGGTTATGACCCTTTCGGTTTGATGAAGAGATAGATTTAGACAACAAACAAAGTATTTATTAAGTGGTTAATGATTGCGTATAGTGAGCAGCAGTAGCTAGTGACTTAGCAGTCTAGCAGCAGGCTGCTTAAGACGAGACTGAACAACAGGTTGCTAGTGACTTAGCAGGAGATGTGTTGGGAAGATGTCAGCAACCTTATCTATAGCATGTTGTTAGCTTAGCTTAACCGCAAGTTTCTGCCTGTCCGTTAAACAGCTAACTAGTTAACTTGGATGTTGATATACTTATGTAATGGGGAACAAAAACATCTTGTTTACGGTGAACTTGGTATATACAATGACTCTATATTAGTCCAGTCCACTGGTCAGTTTGAAAGGTGTTTGAGAGATGTGTTTGGATTGGTTCTTAGGACGAGTGTGGATTGTGGTTGTGTGGGTGCTGAAAGTAAAGATGGGTCATGATGTATCCTGGTTAAGATGTGGTGTAATGCTCTTACATCTATTCTCACCTTCGAGTTGATGAATTTCCACTAAATAAATATACTCATTATACTTAGTGCCCAAGCTACCCTTGATCACATGCATAGATTGTAAGGTTTTTCACGAGGAGTTTGAACATCACTCCAAGCTACTCAGTCCTCCACGTGTTTCACTAATAGCATTGACTTGCTAAGAGCTACTCATGTCCTTCTTCTCTCTCGAATTGATCACGAAGTCCTCCAGATGTTTACAACATGTTCACTTTTACACAGAAATTCTAAACATCCAACTATTCTAAGCTCTAGAGATATATCTGCGAATGAACTTGATGGAGTATATGGGTCTGAGCCCCAGGACCCACATACTCAGAAGAACAGAAAGCACAAGACACTGAGTGGTGCCCTCGTCGGCCAAGGGACCCCCGTCGGCCGGAAAGGTACCAACTCAGAATATGGTCCTGAATCCAAGGAACCCGGGTGCCCGCATCGGCCGCGCCCTCGCCGGCCATGCCCTCGTCGGCCTTGCCCTCGTCGGCCAGAAGACCTCACAGAACCAGATTTTACACTTACTCATTTGTACAGCCCATTAGTGGCTTTGTACTCGGCCCAGTAGCGGTCCAGTTGTAGATGGGCCTCCCAAGCCCAAGGCTTGGGAGCCCAGCCCGTATTTTCCCTATAGATACTTCCTATGGAGGTAGTTATCAATGTGACAAATTCATTCTATTGAAGCATATTATTGCACTTCTCTCTCTAGCTCTCACTTCTCTCTAGATATACTCTATCATTTGGTGCTCTCGTTGAGAGCTAGAACAATCAAGTTAGCACCCTTCGTCGCTACCAAGCACAGCTAACCACTGATCATGGGAAGAACTAAATCAAACCGCAACCTCGTCAGCAAGGCCATCCCTGAGGACCAAGAGGCCAGGGAGCACGAGGAGGATGCTACGGCCGACCAGGTCGGCGGAGGGGACGTCTTCCTGGAGGCCATCAACCTCACGACGGACCTCCGCAACCAACTCAACGGCGGAGCCCCTGATGCCCGCATCGGCTTGGACAAGAAACGAGCTGAGAAGACAGACCACGCCCCGGCTCAGCCTATGGTCGCGGCCTCTCCGTCTGTGGATCCACAGGTCCAGGCCACGCTGTCGGTCATCATCGCCAGCTTGGCCCAGAACCCCACCGTCCTCAGCGCACTCT